TAACGACGGACGGAGATCTCGCTAACCGCCATAAATACGCATTTAAAACGGCGCAATTTACGACCGCTCACGACACAGGCTTCGACACGATCGATGGGCCGATGGGTGCGATTTGTAAAGTTGCGCGCACGTGCATATGACCCACGTGCATTGAATACAATTCACGTGCGCACGACCCAGGTGCATACGAACCACGTGCATTGCATACAATCCACGTGCATACGACCCAAGGCACGCGGCGCATTCCCGGGTGCTGCCGCTCTCGCGTTTGCAGAGGCCTCCCCTCTCCGGGGCTGCCTGCCATTCTGTCCCTCATCAAGTATTCATGTCCGAGGACGACCAGGAATTTATAGTGCATTGGAATTCACTTTAATTAAAATTTAACAAGCCTTCCCCTTTTTTACTGCCGCCGTGGATCACCGCAAATTCCCCGCAGCGCTGCTCTGATTCTGTCCCGCGCCTGTCTTTGATCCCGCGATAATTTATTTCGCTCCCCATGGAGTTCCAACTGGCTCTTGACTTGTTCATCACACCAGACGCTTCCATTTATCTCCTTAACCCTTCGCCGCCCGGCAGAAGGCGGCGCACGCTCCATCCCGGCTACACCGTGCCGTCGCCGTGTTTGCCTGTGGCCCACGTGCCACCGCGCGCTAATTGACTAATTAACGCGCGAAGGCCGTTAAGCCCGGGTCAGGATATTCTACGCGGATCAGCGGCGCGAGCTCCAACCCAAGACTCTCAGACGAGCTTTACCACTTCTCGGGCGTTCGACCCAATGCATGGATAAGAATGCAGATTCACGTCAGTATTAAACAAAGAAACATCGCGGATTTAAAATATATTCGACACTGTATCTGAGACGCAATAGAAACACTGCAGCAGGCATTGCCACCTCTACTTCTGCAAGGAATTACCGCATTAACACTGCGACTTCCATCTTCTTGCAGGTACCAACGCCTTTGCGAGTATCAAAGCTGCCAGCTGATGCACTGCCAATACACGCCCCCCCCTTGCGCATTCCCCTGCCACTTCACACGTGCATTTGGCAAGCCAGCGCCGCGTACCCGAACCTCCGTGTAATCTGGTTTCAGAAATGTTGCTTTCTTCAAATGTTCGGGTACACAATCCCTGTCCGTGTCAGCTCTTCACCCGATTCCCAGAAACGGACGCTTTGTTTACACCGGCGGCAATCGTGGTACCTCCAGTCGACGTCAGACTCTCCCCGCAGCCCAACGGCTTGCACTCACCGCTGTGACGCCTTTGTGCCGCTTCAGGGTGTGATGTGGATTTGCGGGTGCCCTCCGCAGTACACGAGGGGTTACGAAGGGCTTTAGTTCCGACACTAAAGCTTTTTTTACATCACATATCATACAGGTTTGTCTCGAACTAGAAACCACATCGAACAGAGGATCCTTGACAATGAACATCCGACAGTTTACCAGCGTTGGCTTGAGCAAGCCTGACTCTGCTGATGAGATGCTGAATTTCAAATCGAAACCGGTCCAGAGTTTTGCAGGTATTGAACCAATGCTGCTGCAATGTAGCACTCCCAGGAGGCTGTGTGGTCGATGGGTTGTGTAAAGAATACTCGCATTGTTTACATGGAGGGATGGGTCTGGGAAGGAGGCATCTTGTCTGCCTTGTTATTCTAGGACCGAGGGTTTCCAGGATTGAGCACCTTGAGCCTCTGGCAGTCCAAGGGAACGTCATCAAAAGCACGTGCACTCATTTCCACTTTGAGACGCAGTTGCTGAGCACAGGCACGATGGCCCCAAAACGTCAAGCGACCAGAAACAAACAGGACCGTCAGGGCTGCAAAAGATAAGAGTGTAACGCGTTTCCTGAATTGAGCAGGATTATTATAGGAACTTGGGAACTGGAATTCCATAGTGGAGCGGTGCAAATAGAGAAGTGAGGTGACCTGCAGTGTGGTGAGTGGGTGGCTGAGCTTTTGTTTGGCCGGATAGAAGGGGCTAAACGGCCACGGCACGGGCTAGAGATGAGATAGAGCGATGTGGTACAGAAGGACGTGGAGCTGAGTGGACTTGCCGATGACTGGTACTAGCGGTGTCAAGATTGGCCTCTGCTGAGGAGGCTCGTGAAGGACGCTACTGGGCAGTTGGAGGCAGTCGCCCTCCAGCAACAACGGAGGGCAGAGGAGCGACGCTCACAACAATGAGTGGAACGCGGGGCGGCTAAAACACAGCAAGGTGGTGCATCGGCCTGTCATCTCAAGTCAATCGACGCATGGCACCTGGATCTGTCCCATAACCTCCTGCCAGCAGGCGTTCGACACTTCACGTGGCCTTAACATGCACATAGCCTGGTACAAGCGCCGTGGTAACGTCACTGCCACTTAGTGGCGAATGGCGGTTGTTGTTGTTGTGACCTCCAGTGTGGTGAGAGGGTAGGTGAGTGAGGGGAGTTGTTGTGCCCTGCGGCGTGGTGAGTGAACACAGTATGGATGAGACAAGACAGTGAGTGTCTGGTCGACCGAGTCCTCAACATGGGTGGAGGAATCAACCAGGTTCACGGGGTACGTAACCATGGCAGTAGCGATAGAAGAGTTACAAGGAGGCGACTGACTGCTGGCGAGAGAGCGAGTGGACTGGAGCAGACGGTCGGTCACCCTGGCTGCTGACAGGCGATCTGTCGGGCCGCCGGAGCAGTGCGGCAATGAGCCCGCAGCAACTTCTCCAGCCTCCCGAGAATTCTACGACTCAAATGAAGTTATCCTGCGGTGCAATTTCGCATTGGAAAGTATTTAATTGATCGCAATTAAAAATACCTAAGTTTAGTACATTAGGGCAATCTTAAAGAGATATAATTTGAAGCACTTTTGAATGTCGTATAGTTGTGATTGACAGAAATGTATAATGCCTATCAGTGATGAAATTTTTGGTAATTATCATTAAATTGTAGGTGATTATTTTTGACAGAAAAAATTGGCACACTGCCATTTAGGCTTAAGGCCCTTTGCATGGCGGAGCCTGTTCCCGCATTAAATGTTAATTTTTAAAAAATACATTCACACAGCCCTCCTGTTACATTAAGACGATTTTGATGAGCACATTTTATGGAATAGTTCAGGGAAAAGAGACCTTTAGCGATATTTTCCCTTCGCTAACCAAATAAATAATCATACAAAATGCTAATTTCCCAATTTCGTCCCTCTGCCTAAAAAACAAAAGTACTTATGGGAGTTAATTTTTCAGTAGCATTGGTTTAATACACGCAAACTGTGGACTGGGTTCGACATTCAGCGGTTCAAAATGTGCGCGTGCTAAACCAATGCAATTGAAAAAAAATCACTCCCAGAAGGCTGTGTGGCTGATGGGACATTTTATTTTGTTGTATGTTTTATTTGGAGATACAGATATGTAAATTAGGCACAGTCTGCTTAGTTATTCTCTGACTCATATTCTCCACAATGACGCAAATTGTTAATTTGGTTTCTCTTAGCGATGTCAATAAATGTGAACCAAGTGGAAATCACTTCAAAACTGCATATTGTAGCGTCATGAAGTTCAACACAAATTCCACCAGATCTTGGCACAAACAAACATGCCAATTCCTCGACTGCCTGGGGTCAAACCCAGGCTGCAGATGAGTGGGCAACCCTAGGCCCCAGGTGGCACAGGCCTCCAGAAGCCTCGCACACAGCTCGGCGATCGGTCCAGCCTGGCAGGCTCAGCCGGTGACCATGGCAACGCTTGGTTCACTGTACGTGTTACTATAACAAGTAACAGGGACATTAGTACGTGAGCCGGAGTAGCTGAGCAGGTGAGATGGACGGGTCTAATCGCCTTAATCGGTCTGGGAAACCGCCTCTCCGCGCGTCTCATCGAGCTGCCGCGCCACCTCATTTGCAGCCGACGGCTCGCGGAGAACACAGATAGCGCGGCCCGGATAACGGATCCGACAACCGAACACAAGTAAGACGGCCGTGTGTCATTTACTTGGGAAAACAGCGCCCCGCTCAGAGGGGTGCAGCTGCACCGTACGGCACGGAAATGACGTGTAGCTTCCTTTAATGTAAATAGATATAACGAATAAAACACTGAGAGTAACGTACTAATTAAATTGTGTAATTTTATAAGTGTTAAAATTAGGTTATTACTCACCATCCCTTCGGTCTGTGTACAATCGTTTTGTCACGATTGGATTGATTAGGATGACACATTTAATGGAATAAAGGAGGCAGAATAACCCCACACGTATAATGATGTTTATGAGAACAAAAAAGTTTGTCTGCTACTGTTTTCCTGCAATTGTGGGAATCGTACAACCCATTCCTGGTAATTGTTTACATTGAATTCTTGTTATGCTTCCAACGTTAAAGTGACTTCCTGTTCCACGTTCCTGTGGCGGGCAGGGGGGGCCACAAGTTTAGCCACAGGACAACAACCACCGTTAATTTCCAAAAAGGCAGTACATATTTTATCGACCCCAGCAGGATGATGGGCGAGTCCACCCTCTCACAGCCTTCCTCTGATTGCGAGCCGCTCCACTGCCGAGCCTGCCGGCCGGTTTGCATCGAGGCTATAAACGTTCTACTTCTCTCACTCGCACTGCTTTCATGTTGGGTGGGCTCTGTCCCGTTTCTGTCGAGCAGTCAACGACCCCTGCTGTCCCAGACGAACGCGAGCACCGGCGCCCTCACCGTCATGGTGGCACAAGCGCTCATGCGTCTTCTCGCAGGGATGCCCGGAAGAGAGGAGAGGGGGGCGGAGGGCAAAATGGGACATTTGCCCCGGCCCTCACACAAAAGAGGGCCTCACAACGAGCCTGCGCTTTTTTTTTCCTTCCACGAAAAAAAACAAGGGCGCCCCACCACGTGGCGCTCTGCTCCGGGCCTCGAGCACCGGGCCTCCAGGTGCCTCTGGGCGGCCACGTCTTCTTGTGCCGCCCGACAGCATGCTCTCGCGCACACACACACGTCGCCAGCTGCTGCTGCTGCGTGGGTGCAATGGGCTTAGCGTGCATAACACCGTACTCACCCGGTCATCGATGTCACTCTCGCTGTCGCACTGCAACAGAAGAACAAAGGAAAGTAATTTAGTGAAACGTGTGGACGTTTGATTTCCTAATGTACAGAAATTCTATGCATGTTAAATTAGCGAGCAGCGATTTATCTGCAGGCCCATAAATCCTGGGCTGCCCTGCACACCGCGAGCGGCGATTGGCGGCCGTGCAGCCGTCGCTTAGCAGATCCAAACGAACCTCGGGAGCGGCATTGGAGTTGGCGCTTCAGCGCAAAGGGACGCCAAAGAGAAGCAGCGACGCCACGTTTGTTAACAACGCAGACGTGGCAAAAAAACATTGAGAGAATTCACATTGTGAAAGGCAGATTGACGTTGAAGCTGGTTACCAATGCAAGTAACTTGCATAATACATCACAGGGCAAATCTTTGTCCTTTAAAAACACGATGTCGATGTTCTCAAAGCGATGCATCGTGAGAGGCGACGCGTCCGAGTGTCACTCGCAGCGAGTTCCTGCCTCTGGCTCAGGTGCACCAGAGGCAGAGCTGGGCTTGCTGGCCCTCCTCGCCCTCCTCGCCCACCCCTTTCACAGAACAGGCATCAACATCCCACAAGTTCCAAACAGCTCAAACGAAGACACCGAGGTGGTGCTCATCTACCATTTATAGCCCTAAAGGCAGTGGTGGACATTCCATATTCCTATGACAAGGACATGGTCTATCCATAGGACAGCCATCATTGACTTCGCCACAAAAGTGGTGCTCAGTTCATTGACCCTGGAGGAAGGGACGATGGGCGACCCCGAACCAGGAGTTGAACTCGCGACCTCCGGATTGTGAGCCGCTCGCTCTACAGCTGAGTCACCACCTGGGCCGGTTGTAAGGGAAATTTAAACACCATTGAAGAATTACACCACGGCAGTGTTTATAAAATTACGTTTTTAATTTACGTCTATGCACACATTTACATTTTAATCTAAAAGTCTGCCGCTAATACAAACCGTGTTTACATCATAAAGAGTGTGATTTTTTTCTTCTCACGGTGCTACAAGAGATGACACAGATACGAGAGAGGGCCCGCGGCCAGATACAAGCGGGGGAAGTGTGAAGGACCCCTTTAAGGCTTGCACATGCAAGCCTGGCTCTCGACAGCCCCGTCTCCACGGCGCATATTAAGTGTGGAGCACAGAGACGTACAGTGCGGGAGCCTGAGCACCACTGTCCTGCAGCAATATAGAAAGAGCAGCACTCAGGCAAATGGCAAATCAGCACCCATCACCGCAGCCCCATTCCATAAATCAAAGGCAAATATCACATTTTAATGCCTTTCTGAATGTGAAATGGGTGCTGAAATCATGCGAGAATTGCACATGAATATTTAATGCGGGGCCCGCTAGCTCACGAGAACGGGGCAAATGAAGGTGCTGATGGATGAATTCGCGGTAAGTAATTTCTACACGTGTGCCGCGTGTTATTTCGCATGCCAAGTTCACTCACAAACGCCAGGCTGTGAATTATTTTTCGCAGCAATTCCCAGACCTAATTTTCACCCATGAATATTTTATAAAACGTCAGGGGCGATTTGAGGAGCTGCAGGCTACATTACAATTTCTGACAAGTTTTTCTGGCACCATTTGATGCGCTCTCCTCCGGCAAGCCAGAAGCCCTCTCTTCCTCCCCTCGACCGACGGCATAAATCGACCCGCCCCCTCCGTGCCGCCAAGGCCCACGCTGGGCCTTTAATGTGATTACTAATGAGCCAGTAAATGTCAGAGCGAGGCTGCTCGCAGTCACTGAATGTCGCCCTAACCAGCGCGCCACCCACGTACCGCGCGCGGTGGCGGCGGTGGTGGCGGCGGCGGCATGTGTCTCACCGCCATCTTACCATCTCTTGCCTCCTCTGCCAGGCTGAGATATTTTTTTTGCCAAATGCCAAACGTGCGCTTTGATTTATATATATATATTTTTTTCAAATGCCACCCATTTTCGCATTTCTTGCTAGTTATCTGACATTTTTAAAATAATCCTTCGCAATTGAAGCGGTAGGAAAATCCATCCACGCATCGGTCGCCGTGTGTTCGCTCTCCGCCGCGGAGCGTGCGGGCGCTGGAAGCGGCATCGCTTGCGGGGGCGTCGCGGATCACAATTACAGGGTGATAATTGCGACGGTGACGCAGGAACGCGTGTTGCAAAATACGAGGCCAGCCCAAAAAAAACAAACAAACACTTGATCAATGCAGGGGCCAACACAAGCTGCGGAAAATATACACGAGCCTCGGAGTCAAACATTTTTTATCACCCCATTAACTCTCTGGGGGGAAGTCAACAGTGGTTGTCCGATGGAGAGACTCGACCCTGCCATGGGAATGTGGAATTTCCCATCACTGGCTCAGGGTTGCAAACAGATGCGCACCGCCTCGGTGCAAGTTTGAGCCGGAAATCACCGACTTTTTTGTTTTTAAACCTCGGTCCAAGTCGGTATTAATAGTACCTCCGCTGTAACCAAAGGGCTTTAGTTACCGATAGCAACTTGGGTTGCAACTGGAATTTGGCGCTCTATTTATTTAGTGACCCTCTGCACCCCGGCGCACTCGTTCCAGCCGACGTGAATACCCAGGCGTGAAACGTGAGCGCCAGCGAGCGCACGCACATCTCTCGGTGCGCGCCACGCACCCAGCAGAGCACCGGGCTGGCGCCCCGTGCAATGCGGCCGTCATGTTCTGTCAACAAAGAATGGCAAAACCGCGATGCGCACGCGCCAGCATTGCGAGCCACGATGGAGAGCTTAGCTCTGTCTGTCCCTGACGCGGCCACTGCGCCCCTTCGTTACGTACGCCGGCGCTCGCTTCAGAACCGCTAATTCCTCAGCTGACAGAAAGAGAATGTACGCGACCTCGCTCCCGTGCATTCGACTCAGTTTGTCACCGGTAATTCCCTGCCTTTGTTCAGCTTTATGGACGAACTGGCCTGGAAACCGTCCGCCAGGACCCTGTTCTGTTCTGATTAAAATGAAATGGGCTCTGGCAGGATCCGCAGCATGACGGGGCTATTCAACTGCAGCCCCCGTGAGATCGAGAGACAAGGCAAGTCCTGATCAAGGTATAAAGCAACACAGCCTTCAGTAGTAATGTACGATAATCATGAGTGTCGTGGTGAAGAATACAACGAAATAGATGAGCAGACAAGACGAAACTCCGTCACCTCTCTGTCCCTCCACAAAAACTAAAAGTATTTGACACTTTCCATCAGCCGCACGGCCATCTGGGAGGGCATACAAATTTCAGCTTCATTGGTTTAACACAAGCCAAACTCTGAAACGGTTTTGACATTCACTGTCCCATCAGCAGTCAGACCTGCTTGAACGGATGCTGGTGAACTGCCAGATGTGTATAGGCAACGACTCGATGGTCGATACGAGTCCTAGTTCAGCGCAAAACGCCGTGACACGCAAAAACAATTAATCACGAGAAGAAACGCAGATCGTCATCACATCAGTCCTGTCCTCAACCAAGTGACAGCCACAGTCACCATTATCCCCAACCATGGTTAATCCACTGCTGAATGAAGACCTCACCAAATCGCCACCACCAGAGTTGCTGTAGACAAAATAATGGAACGGATGCTGCGACTGCCGGAGTTGTAGCTCAAACGCCAACACTCGCAGTCCTATCTCGTTGTTGCAAACCCCACCAGCACCCAGGCTCAGCTGCTCACGTACAGAGGAAGGGAAGGTGCAACTCTCATCCGCGCTTCCTGCACGCGTGCCATCTGACCACCACGTGGCACGCACAATGCTCTCAGCCTTATCGTCATGTACAGAAAACGCTGGATATCAATTCAATCTTTTCCGGAGCTCCGTCGCTTTCATATATTTCTTAAAAACCTCAGAACCTAGACACAGTCCTGATATGAACGAAAATGTATGGCAACCTGCGTCCACCCCCGGCTGCCCTGGCCCTCCTGGAGAAAATAACCCAGCGGGATAGTTGCCACGAGACGTGTGCCCCGGGCTCTCTCCAGGACAAGGACGAGAGGGGAGATTCCTGAACCCCGCGCTCAGCGTGAGGGTCAGGCGGGAGACAGCCCACCGACAGCGCCGCCATCGTGAGCGGCCGTGACCTCCAGCAAGACCCGAGTTCCGCTGCGGTTTGAAACCGCAGCCCAAACTAATTGCGGCCCGTCCTGGAAAACTCTGCTCAGACGAGCGTGGTGGAAAGAGAAATGAACGGTTACATACCCAAATGGGTATTTATGTGTAAGTGAAATACGTTGTACCTTGAAGACAAAATGTTCACTGGCGCTGTTGTGGAGAGTACACGCAACAACAAAATAAACGAGGAGACAATAAGCCCCCTCATGCACACCATTATCTATCCCTCTGTATAATAAATCAAGGCTTTTTTTTACACATCCAATTCGCCGAATGGCCTTTTTGAGAGTCTGCATCTTATCAGTAGCATTGGTTCGTCACAAGCAAAACTCTGGACCAGTTTTGACATTTAGTGTCTCATCAGCAGACACAGGCTTGCATGAACAAATATTGGCGAACAGCCAGATGTTTACAGTGATGTGAGGCAAGCGTATCGTCTGCGAATACATGATTTTGTTATATTCTCCACCACGCCACGAATTACTGTCTTGTGTTGTCTATTTACATAATTTTGCAAAGAACTAGGACCTCTCAACATCTATTCAATTAAATAAAATCGTGTTAACGCTCACCTATTACAATTTTGACGGTGCTGTTTTTGCTGGCCACTTCACGTCCTGGGCCTTTGGGTCTATGCTCGGCAGGCATACGAGTGGCTAACCCGTCCCCATTCACGGAAGAGCATCGCCAAAAATACGAACCGGCAAGATGTGTTGGGCATTTTGACTACGCACGTTTCCCAACGCACGTACAAACGGACCAAACGTTTCTGCAACCCAGCAACTACCGCCGCCGCCGCCGCCGTCGTGATGAATGCCTGACAAAAGGACAAGCGGTCAAGTGGCAGGACAGAAAATCAGTAACGCTCTGCATCACCAGCTACGCGCAAGATAAGCGG